TGAATAATTATCTTTACGAATATTTTTCTTCAGCAATATTCTAACTACCTATTCAAAATCGAGTATGACATTCAATAGGTATAGTAGGTTTTTAAAATTATACTTGTAGGGAATAATATAAAAGAATATAAAGAAATGGTAATATAATATTTTTTGTAGCTTCTTTTAGCAACTTTATTCGAAATAAATTAAAATGTAATTCAGTTTAAAAAATATACAACAGTTCGTTAAAAATTCAATAATCGATTACAATCGATTGGGCATCCCTAATCATTTTTCGACACCACGTGATGTTTGGCGAAGATGGCGGCGATTAATGTTATTAGTCGAGTAGAATACTTTTTAATGTTCATTTCTGCATGCAGCTAGTCCATGTTATAAAAGTATTTGCAACTAATATAATAGAATAGAAAATTAATTATCGTGTATGTCCGATGCTTTTATTACACAGGGCGGTTTTGGACATTGTCCTTTATTTATTGCTGTCAGACCCAAATATATAAAAACATTATAAATTTGAAGCTATGTCTATTAGAGTTTCGAGAGCATATTTACCGTCATTCTAGGTATCTAAGAGACATTTTTGGCTAACTTACGTCGTTCTATCTTTTGTACAAAATATTGAACATTGGGTCACGCAACGTTGCAGAGAAATTAAAAAATGATAATTATAAATTTTAGGATTTATTAAAGAAATTATTAGAAAAATATAAAAAAATAGGACGAAATCCTTCAGTCTAAAATTTTAAAATTAACTACATTCTCTTAGGCATTTAACTAGTTTTAATAATATCACAATTACAATATTTAATCATCTTTGGAATTAAAAATTCAGACTCTTTAGGCTATAATAATAAAAATATTTTACTTATAACTAAAAAATGTTATCTTAACATTAGTGCGATATTTTAGGAACTTTATTTATCATCATTACAGCCCTTCACAAGTCCACTGCTGAACATAGGCCTCCCCCAAAGTATGCCACAAAACACGGTCCTGAGCCACCTGCATCCATCGACTTCCTGCATGTCTTACCAGGTCGTCACTCCATCTCGTGGGGGGACGCCCTACACTTCGCCTACCGGTACGAGGCTGCCACTCGAGAACCTTTCTTCCCCATCGGTTGTCGGTTCTTCGAGCTATATGGCCGGCCCACTGCCACTTCAGCTTACTAATCCGTTGGGCTATGTCGGTCACTCTGGTTCTACTGCGGATATCCTCATTCCTAAGTATATCACGCAGAGAAACTCCGAGCATAGCCCTCTCCATAGCTCGCTGAGCGACCTTGAGCTTCCTCATACGGCCAGCAGTGAAGGACTGCTGACCGTATGAGGAAGCTCAAGTCCTTTACAACTTGCCGTGTAGTGGCGGTCAAGAATATCCACTACCCCATATCCTCCCGTGGGTGTCGTAAAAGGCGACAAAGGGAAACAGGCAGGAGATGGGCAGCAGCATCTTCCTGATAATAGCCAAATTACAATAAAAAAACTGCGGTTGCCAACCCGCTCGCCAAGCGTGGCAACTATGGCAAATACCCCCTATGAATGACAGTAACAAAAAAACGGCCCCCAGTCCCCGGCGGCCCCGCTATTCCTGGCTACGGTGGCGACCATGGTAACGGCGGGGCAGGGGGTGCTAAGAATCTCCGGTGGAGGTTCGGTTGCCACCTTAGACGACTCGACCTGGCAACGTACAACGCACGCACCCTGAGGACTGACGAGAAGATCGTGGAGCTGGAAGAAGAGATAGACAAGTTGCGCTGGCATATTATAGGATTATCCGAAGTCCGAAGAGAGGGGGAGGACACGGTAATCCTCGAATCCGGCAACTTGCTCTATCACCGGGAGGGCGACCATCTGTCCCAAGGAGGTGTCGGATTTATCGTCCACAAGTCTCTCGTTAACAACGTTGTAAAGATCGGGAGTGTGTCGACGAGGGTTGCGTACCTTATACTCAGAATCACCAAACGGTATTCGCTGAAGGTCATACAGGTTTACGCACCAACCTCGGCACACCCCGATGAGAAGGTGGAGGAAATGTATGAGGATATCTTTAGAGCCATGCATTCCTCCAAAACCCAATATACGGTGTTAATGGGAGACTTCAATGCAAAACTAGGGCAACGGAACCCAAGGGGCCATCAACTGGCCGAATTCATGGAAAAAGAGGGACTCTTTATGATGAACTCTTTCTTCCAGAAGCGGCCCCACAGGAAGTGGACCTGGTCGAGCCCCGACGGTTCCTCAAAAAATGAGATTGACTTCATTATGACGACCAGACGACAACTGTTCAGTGATGTCTCCGTGATCGCGAGGGTGAAAACTGGTAGCGATCACCGAATGGTTAGAGGCACACTGAACCTAAACGTTAAGTTGGAGAGGTCTCGTCTAATGAAGTCAACGCTCCGTCCCCCTCGTGCTCTGTTCCAAAGTCCCGAAACCTTTCAGCTCGAGTTACAAAACCGTTTTCAGTGCCTGGAAGACTGCAATGAAGTGGACGATATGAATGACAAGCTCGTGGAAACTGTCCATGCGGTCGGAGCTAAGTTCTGCAAGACCCGCCGCAGAAGAACACAAAAACTCTCCGATCACACTCTTAATCTCATGGCTGTTAGACGGGAGATGAAGCTACATTCTTCAACAGACTTGAGAGCTTACAGGCATCTGAACAGACAGATCTCCAAAGGCATGCGGCGGGACTTACGCAAATTCAATACAGCTCGTATTGAAGAAGCGATCGAGCGGAACCAAGGCTCCAAAGTCTTTGCCAGAGATTTGTCTGCCAGAAAGAGCCAACTGTCAAAGCTGAAGACAGAATGTGGCAGCATCGTTTCCGGGACACCTGAGATTTTGAGTGAGATTGAGAGGTTCTATGGGCAGCTGTACACATCATCGTTGGAGCCACACGCAAGTGTGAGTAACGATCCAAGAGCGAGTCTCATCCGACACTATTCCGAAGATATCCCGGATGTCAGTCTGAGCGAGATTAGGATGGCTCTCCAGCACCTTAAAAACGGTAAGGCCCCAGGCGAGGATGGAATTACAGGGGTGCTTCTGAAAGCGGGTGGAAGAGCGGTACTTGAAGTCCTTCAGAAGCTCTTTAATTCCGTCCTCCATGGTGGCATTACACCGGAGGCGTGGAGCAGAAGTGCGGTGGTCTTGTTCTTCAAGAAAGGTGACAACGCTCTCTTGAAGAACTACAGACCGATTTCCCTTCTGAGCCGCGTCTACGTGCTGTTTTCGAGAGTCATTACGAATCGTCTCGCGCGCAGACTTGACGACTTCCAGCCTCCCGAACAAGTCGGTTTCCAAAAGGGCTTTAGCACCATAGACCACATACATACCCTTCGGCAAGTTGTACAGAAGTCCGAAGAGTACAATTTGCCACTATGTCTGGCGTATGTGGACTATGAGAAAGCCTTTGATTCCGTCGAAATTTGGGCGGTGCTGCAGTCCCTTCAGCGGTGCCAAGTTGACTGTCGGTATATCGAAGTGTTGAAGTGCTTGTACAGTAGGGCTACGATGGCTATCCGAGTACAGAACCAGAGTACGAAACCTATCCAATTGCAGAGAGGTGTAAGACAGGGTGACGTCATATCCCCGAAACTCTTCACCGCTGCATTGGAAGACGTTTTCAAGCTTCTGGACTGGAAAGGATACGGTATCAACATCAATGGCGAGTACATCACTCACCTTCGATTTGCCGACGATATAGTCCTTATGGCAGAATCGCTGGAGGACCTAAGCACTATGCTCAATGACCTCAATAGTGTTTCCCAAGGGATAGGTCCTAAGATGAACATGGACAAAACAAAGATTATGTTTAATGTCCATGTCACACCTATACCGGTAGTTGTTGGGAGCACTAAGCTCGAAGTTGTTGACGAGTATGTTTACCTGGGACAAATAGTCCGACTGGGTAAGTCCAACTTCGACCGAGAGGTCAATCGACGGATTCAACTCGGCTGGGCAGCGTTCGGGAAGCTACGACACATCTTTTCGTCAGACATACCTCAAAACCTTAAAACGAAATTGTACAACCAGTGCGTGTTGCCAGTGATGACTTACGGAACTGAGACGTGGTCCTTCACTTTACTTATACTTAACAAAAATTAGTTACACTACTCATGAAATGCTTTGTAACAATTACGAGTCGAAGTTAGGCAAAGAGCTACCAGGCAGGTACTGCATTTGGCGGTAGTTCTTTTCTTACATCCAGGCAAACGGCATCTGTTTGCTGTGCCTTCAAAGACAGGCATGTGCAATGCTCATTGCTGTCTACGAATCTTTGACGGAATAGGAACTATTGCTGGCCTTCCCCTTTTTCGAACTTCTGGCTCTGAATTATCCTCCTTTTTTCAATAATGTTTTCCGCTAACTGCATCTTCCATTGCCTCATAGATTGTATTTTTTTCAGTGGAATTTGTTGTTTTAATTTGTCATTTTGGAATTGAATCAAAGCGTTTGATGCCGATAAATCCAACATGTGGGAAATGAAGCGAATGGTCAATTTTTTGGTTCTGGATCGGGATGGACACACTGCCAACATGCGGTCTGCTAAATCGACACCTCCCATATTACTGTTATACATTCTGACAACCAGTGGCCTGACTACGTTTATATATTCTTTTTGAATTTTACACCATCGACGACACAGATCTTTAGGATCGCTCCCATATATTGTCGACATCAGAGTAACCGGCTTGTTGTCGCACCATTTTGTCACAGCCACTGTGTCATCACTGTTTACAAAAACAAACGTAGATCCTCTTCCACTACGTTTCATTTTATTGTCATCTGGCAAAACCTCTTTCAGAGTAGCAGGAATCTGGTAATTCATTATAGTACCTGAGCATCTAAAGCCTCTTGTGAATAGTTCTTGAACTAATTTAAGAGAAGTAAAGTAACGGTCGAAATCACAAATCACATACCATGCCATTTGGGTTGGCGAGCACAAACGCTTTTAGCCCCACCGGATTTGGCTTATTTGGGCAATACTGTCTAACCGCAGCTTCCAGAAAACATAATTATCATTTCATCTATGGAAATGTGTTGGTGTCGTATTTGCTTGTGGCATCCTTGCAGTACTCTCTCGATCAAAGGTCTAACCTTCCACAGTTTATCTTGGTTTCTGTGCTCTTGACTTACATCGCGATCAAATACAATCTTCAACGCGGTTCTCAAAAGAAAGTATATATTACGTGGCATACAGTCTGCTACTAAAGGAACTCGCCATTTATTTTCCCAGTACATTCTAATGTAAGGGTAGTTTATGCACGACATCATCATAGTGATTCCAATAAATGTTTTGTATTCCTTTTCATTAAAATATAGGGGTTTTCCGGATCGGAATAAATAGTATTGCTTAGTTTTATTCGTGATCAAAGCAATGAGGTCGTCATCGATATACTGACTAAAATACTGTGAAGAATCATAATCGGTAGTATCTATCGGCAGGTATGACGGGGCAGAAAGTTGCGGAGGCGTTGGGGCAAACTCTTTAGTCTTCAATTCACGATCAAGGGATTCGTTAGGTGCAACGGAATTATTTTCCTGTCTTACCCGACCGCGTCCTCGGCTTTTACTTCCGCGACCGCTTCTTCCGCGAGATCTAATATTTCTTCCCCGACTACTACTAAGTGACCCACGTGGACGACGTGTTCTTCGACGACTTGGAGCAGGAGAATCATATGGTATTACCTCGTTGTCATCTTCATCAACCGGGACTTCATCTTCACAGGAAGAACTTGAAGAACTGGACGACTCCTCTCGTTCACTATTAGGGCTGTACCTATCATCCGTCCCATTATCTTCAAAAGGATCTTCTTCCGAGTTTGACTCATATTCTGAGTCATTGAGATTCTGAAGAATGTCATTTTCAGTAAGATCTAAAAGTAGAAACAAAAATACTCAATTTTAAACAGAGACCGAACGTTTGATACTGCAAACCAATGTACAAAAAATTGCACAAAATAATTGATGACTTTGGAAATCAGCTACATCTAACACTGTCACGAAAATTATTAATAATATGTACTATTTATACCTTTTAGTTTATAATAAAATCAACAGTTACGTAGGAAAAGTAGTGATTAAATTAGCATTTTCAGATTAAACTTACTTTTAGCACGAGGCAGCGGCATGTTTCCTCATTCGTCGCAGCTGGTTTTGACATGACACCTATTTTTTGGTTGGCGGCATTGATAACATAGACAATACAGACTAATCAAGTAATTTTGACATGTGAAACTAGTCGCGGGAAGATTTGAAAAAAATTAGAAGGGCTTAAAGAATATGTACAAAAAATTGTGCAGTGGGCGGTCATTACTATAAATTTTATTACAAAGCCGGGTCTGAATAAGGTATTTTATTTGGTCTTTAATTTTGTACGCGGGGTCTTAGGAGGATAGTGAGTTATTTATATACATATGTAAATAGATTTTTATAATGTGTGTGTAAATAAATAGATATACCACATATTCTTTACAAACTCCCCCCCTCCCTGCTTGCACTGCACGGGGCAAACAGAGCGATAAAAGCATATCAACCCTTGCCACGCTATCCGTGGACTTCTGCAACATCATGGGACTTCACTCGATCATTAACGCCGTCTACTAACTTATGGCAAAGCCGGCCTTGCTTTTTTGCCAGAGACGGGGTAAGAATCAGCTATCGTACCAGGAGTACGAATTAGAACACTACTTTATGTGATGCATATACGTCAGAGAATATATCTGTTCTGGACGCCTCGGCAGTCTTGAAGGGCCTGTCCTTCCGTTGGCTGCGCGTAGACAGCGACGATCATCCCCTCGTCTACGGGTGCCTCTATAGGTCCCATAGCGGTAATTCTAACAAACCGTCTCGTCGACCATGACTAAATGGCTACATATTGCACGCTACAACAGATTTCATCCGTGGAGATCGTGATACTTGGCGATTTTAACATCCACCACGCCAAGTGGCTCGGTTAATATTAAACCAATCATGCGGGGAGATCTGTTGAACACACAGATGTGGAGAATCACATACTTTCCCTGTTGGACTTTCTACTGATCTCTTATCTGGACGGATATCAGGTTTCCGTCGACGCCCCTCTCGGCTCTTCGAACCATTGTCTGATCCGGATTGTGGTGCACTTAAGCTCCCTTCGCGGTTGCGTTTTGCAGGCCGTGTTTGGCATTACAGGTCGGCGGATTGGAACGTAATGCGGTATTTCTTTGCATCCTACCCATGGGTCCGGGCTTACTTCGCCGAGCGCTGTTGCTGACTCTATCTCTGATATAATGCTACAGGGAATGGAACTATTTATTTCATCATCTATGGTACTCATCGGAGGCAGATCTCAGATTTTGTTTGGTCGCTCCTGTATGAATGAATTTCGCACTAAGCAGGAGTGTTATCAGGCCTGGGATGACGCTTCGGCGGCTCGGGATGTGAACACCAGCACGCTTAAAAAGAAGTATGATTCCGCATCCAAATCCTTCAAACAAGTCATTGCAAAGACAAGGTCTGAGCACATTAGCCGAATTGGCCAGAAATTAGTTTGCCTTATTTCGGGAACCCGTGCATTCTGGTCTCTCGCCATCATTTCCATCTCTGCACAAATTTATTAAGGTCTTGTGTGTGTGTGTGTGTGTGTATGTGTGTGCGTGCGTGCGCGTGCGCGTGCGTGCGTGCGTGTGTGCGTGCGTGTGTGTGTGTGTGTGTATGTGTGTGAGTGCGTGCGTGCGCGCGCGGGCGTGTGTGTGTGTGTGTGTGTGTGTGTGTGTGTGTGTGTGTGTGTGTTTGTGTGTGTGTGTGTGTGTGTGAGTGCGTAAGCGTGTGCGAGTGCGTGTGCGTGTGTGTGTGTGTGTGTGTGTGTGAGTGCGTGTGCGTGTGCGAGTGCGTGTGCGTGTGCGTATGCGTGTGCGTGTGCGTGTGCGTGTGCGTGTGCGTGTGCGTGTGCGTGTGCGTGTGCGTGTGCGTGTGCGTGTGCGTGTGCGTGTGCGTGTTTGTGTGCGTTAGCGTGTGCGTGTGCGTGTGCATGTGCGCGCGTGTGTGTGTGTGTGTGTGTGTGAGTGCGTGTGCGTGTGCGAGTGCGTGTGCGTGTGCGTGTGCGTGTGCGAGTGCGTGTGCGTGTGCGTGTGCGTGTGCGTGTGCTTGTGCGTGTGCGTGTGCGTGTGCGTGTGCGTGTGATTGTACGTGTGCGTGTGCGTGTGCGTGTGCGTGTGCGTTTGCGTGTTCGTGTTTGTGTGTGTGTGTGTGTGTGTGTGCGTGTGTGTGTGCGCGTGCGTGTGTGTGTGTGCGCGCACGCGCGTGTGTGTGTGTGTGTGTGTGTGTGTGGTATGTGGAGACGAGGGCACAACAGAGAGGAGTGCAAGTCTCCTGAGACGTGCTGTTACTATTTTGTTATCCCTAATAAAGATTTATATAATTATTATTATTACTATTTGGAAGTCTGACAATTACAGCGGTGGGTTTGGTAGAGGTTGAGGCTTAATAAGAAGAAATGCGAAGAAATCGGTAATTCTGTATTATCTGTTAGCTCGAAAATATCCGTCAAAATTTTACAATAACTCATATCTCGCAGCTACAAAACTAGTCTTTTCATTGCGAGTAACAAAGCAAATAGTGGAAATTTGTTGAAGCGTAATTTTATGTTTTGCATAGCGTGGTGCATAGTAGTGATATTTCGAATTGCAACTCTGCGATTGAATTGCTTGAGAATAACGCGAAGCAAGCACAATCAAATAATGTAAATTATTTTCAGACATCCTCAAACGTTTATTTATGCGAAACATATACTTATTAGTAACAATATCTGATATTATAAGTAAACTTTGATGTAAATAGAAAGTTCGGTGGATGGCAGAGTATCATACATAGGATAATTTCATTACGTATGAGGTGACAATGGCATAATATGCCAAAAAGTTATTATTGTTTCCATAAGTGGCTGTATAATAATCTCATTTATACCAGACGTAAAAACTTAGGCAAATTTAAACTACGACGGGCTCTACAACGCAAGACGCCGCCAGTGGACATCACCAGACTGCTGAAGAAGATGAAACCCGTGACCAGCAGTGGGCATTAACAGACTATTGAAGAAGATGAAACTTAAAAGCTCAAACCTGTATGTTTATTTTACAAAACTGGTTAAGAAAGAATAAAAAAACATTTTCTCAGTTTTAACACTTCTAATAAGCGAAACATTTTGTTGACTGATGAGCAATATTTCTGACGAAAAACTGATGATGGAAAACATACTTATCATTTTTAGATAGATTGATGGTAACGAGAAGGTGCATTATAATATGAATATGATTACTCAGCGGTCATAATTTTAACAAGTGTGGTGGTTTTTATAACCAAAGCAAGTTATAAAAATATAGCGTGTGCGTTATTAAATAGTCATGATTTCGCATTGGATATAAAAAACATGCATGAGTGTCGTGGAACACTCGGTTGGAACGAAGTTCCTTTCGTAGTATATTATTATTGATAAATTTATTATATTATTGATTAACAAATACAAATAAATGAATTACCAGCGTCTATTAAAATGAAGCGTCATTTAAAATTATATTTTTTTCATGGCAAGATATGAAAAAGTGAGAAAGAAAGCGAAATGGTATCTATATATATTATTCCATTTCGCTCGCACAAGGGGGTCGTGATAGAAAAATCTTATACTTTTTCTCGCCTAGCTCCCATCCGTCAAATTCGTAACGTGCGATGAGGAACTTCGTTCCGGAAATGCTGTTTATGTTACAGTTGGATATGGGAATTATCATTGATAGGGAAGAGTTGCTGTAATCGTTATGCTTAGCAGTCGGATTGAAGGTCGGAATTCCAGAAGACGTCTGGCGTAACCAATATAGTAATCTTTAGTTTTCAGGATTTTCCAATAGCTGTCCCTAACGACACTCCAGGGACAAACACGACGATGGATACTCTTATGCCGTCACCGCACAGCAAAAGACATAATAAACCTTTAAATAATATCTAATATTTTTTATAGTTTTTATATATTGCTTGCGTAACATTCTCGAAAAGTGAATGAACCAATCAATGAAAATAATTAATTAGATATGTTCGCAGTTAAGTTGTTTATACTAAATTATTTTTAATTCTTCACGTAAAAATTGGTCTGCAATATTGTTTAATAAATTATCTCATGCGTAACAATTTATATTTATTGAAGTCATTGCCTATAATAGTAATTTAAATGTAAAAATCAAAGAGAAAATTGAACAGCAATATAAAGACGACCAAACAACTAAACATATGATACGGAAAATAACTGAACGAATATTTAAAGGCGATGCTTCTTGGGAATATCGTCTGTAAACATTTAGATTATTTTACATTCAATTTTAGTTATATAATAGTCATATAACTTATGTTGTATTTATTATGATATAAAATCATTCATTTACAAACTTACTCATAAAATTAAAATGGTTTAATTAAATTAAAACAAATTTTACCCATTTTAAACTAGGTCTAGTTTAAATTTGGGATAAATCTGTTTTTGAAAGGTTTTTGGCTATTTGCCTGTAAATTACTATTACTTATTACCTAACTATTTTGTTGTTTTGACATTTTTTAACCTTATAATTCAAGCTCAAAATGCATGTGATAGAGATATGCTGCAGCTATATTATGGTTACAACATAAACAATTTGGCTCGACTGGGAAAGAATCACGTTCTAACACAATATCAAAGTAAAAAAGATAAACTAAGCTGCTATGTTTTAAAGCTTGTTACCACTTTGTAAAAAGAGTCCCTTATTATTGGTAACAAGGCATTCTATCTAAGTCTTTAGGTCGAATAACTTATCTGCATTTCAATGTTTACTCAAGGACAGATATAGACTCTCAATTACTTTATGTAACACCAACAACATATTATATTTATATCTTTATCTTTAAATCCAAACACATTTGAGACCTCATAAATCAACATCAATTTAAGAAATGTATATGTTAGCTATCTCTCTCTCTCTCTCTATCTCTCTCTTCACTGAATTACAATTGAAAAAAAAAGGTAGAGACAATTAATAATTTTGACTGAGTTACCGTGCCGTTCACTTAACCGTTTAGTGCCGATGTAAGAATATCTACTATACCATATCGTCCTATGGATGTCTTAACCCTT